GTCCATAAACCAAAACACAATATTTTCTCAGGAATACATATACTATGTGATAAAACATGATTTCATTGAATTAAATAAACTTGATATAGATAAAATCATATCTAAGCATATAAACATGAAACAAGTTAGTATTTTCCAATTATATTTATTTGTTTCATATATATAAACTTGAAAACTATAAAACCAAAACTTGTATATATATATATACTAGGTTTTTACACGTGCAATGCACGTGGTAAATTTTTTATCATTTATTATAAATTTATAATTTTATTTTGGGAAATATTGTTATTAAATTATTGAATGTAAGCAATGGATCAAACATATAGACATAATCTCAAAATTAAACCTTGAATGCAAGTTTGATAGCAAATCGAACAGAAATTTTCCAGTCCAACCATCAACCAGTCAGGCTTTCAGATTGTTATCGATATAAGTATTTGCCAAGTATTACTTTATGCATGGAACAAGAGGATATTCATCATATCCCTTGGAAAAAAAAAAGTTAAATATATATATATATATATAAACCAAAAACGTGTATGTGTGTATATGATTGAGCTTAAAGTACCAACACACAAAGTATAAACTCCTAAACTAAATTACCCAAGCTTGATGAGGTCTTCGATAAGCACGACTTGGTAAACTTACGGATGAAGCTTGAACTTGGATCTTGAACTTGAATTGTATTGCTTCACTCTACTATTCCGCCAACCTCTATTGGATATGATCGTGAATGCTCGATTTCATCCATCCTCCAACTCATTGTTTGTCTATAATAAGTAGAAAATACAAACACTAGACAAATAATATTAGTTGTAAATTGTTTGTTATAACATCATCAAACAAAAAAGCCAACACTTCTTTCCTCTTTTTTCCCATCAACGGACGGTAAAGATCCTTCTGGTACAAATAATCCTCTATCTACGACTTCCAGTATGCGAAGTCGGATCCATCATACTTCTCAATCTTCAATTTTCTTTCCTCTGCCATAGCTCTCACAAATCTTCTGAACGAAGCTCTGATACGAGTTGTTGAGGATTCGAAACAATCAATCGAACTTGTGCTCTTCCAGATCTTGTGCTAAGAGTTTAGCAAGTAGAAAAATCACCGTAAATAAAAGAAAATTTGCAGGAAAGATAAACAAGAAAGAACACACCAGATTTAATAAGGTTTGGCAACGTGCTTACGTTCTCGGGAGCCACACCACACAATTCTTTGATTAATTGAAAAAGAATACAATGCCCACAAATAGGTTATTATCTCTCTGAGATCTCTCTGAAAGAATCCTCTTAAAACCCACTTTTTCATGTGTTCTACAAACCCTAAAACATATTAGGTATATATAGTATCCCAGCCCAAAACAGAATCTCAAACGAATTAGGAAACTGAAAATCCCGACATCGGTCGACCGGACAAATGGCTTCGGTCAACCGACCAGAGTGTTAAATTTTACAGGGTCTGCTCGTGCACATTTTTGATCGACCTGAGTCCTCGTGTCGGTCGACAGGCCAGAGCTCGATTCTGGGCTTAGATTTCTACAGGGTTTTCAGCAACCGGACCACTCCTATCGGTCGACCGGCCAAAGCGAGCTTCTCACGCTTGTTTCATGCAGGCGTGGCAGTCGACCGACACTACCACATTTGAGGCCTATGGGGACGGTTGTGAACCGTCACACTAGGCATGGAAACCGTTGTAAACTATCATCCTTGATACCATAAGGGAACGGTTGTGCTAAGGGGTCGGTTCTTAGTTTAGAGCAAGTGGAACGGTTGTATATCAAGGGGAACGGTTTTTAGGTTCTAAGCAACAGGAACAGTTTGATAGCAAGGGGAACGGTTTTTAGGTTCTAAGCAATGGGAACAGTTTTATAGCAAGGGGAACGGTTTCTATGGGGACGGTTTTTATACCAAGGGGGACGGTTTCGAGCTTGACCTAAGAGGTCAGTTATATTGTCTATAGGAACGGTTTTGTTTGTGATCTATGGGGACGATTTTTTATACCAAAGGGGACGGTTTTTATTTTTTACTGATCAAAACAAATCACCCAGATATCACACATCAGTCCATCACATACAAAGAAACAATAGTCCAAGTTTTACACGCAAACTAACCAAATTTTAGCCTTAATATAATGAACAATTCATTACAACGAAGAACAATATTATAGCAATAGGATTGATATAATTCTTCACAAGTTTTACACAAAAACTTACCAAATTAAGCACATATCACAAATCCTCCATGATTAAAACAAAGAGCTACTACTTAATCAAAAGGTCAAAATGTCTCTATTGAGACGATTAAGTTCTAAATCTTCACAACAAATAAATCCCCCAAAGAGCGACAAACATGGATCTTCAGATGTTTTCCTGCATACATCAAGATAAAAAAATGAGTAAGCACAAGTAGAATGAAATGCACTGTAATGGATTCAGAGCATCCATTCATACTTTGATCATTACAAGGTGATTTGTCTATGGAAACAAGTGTTTTGCCCTCCTGTTTTAATAAGCAGCAGTTCCTTGATATAAGAATGTGTATTTTGTGCAGATAAGCAAGCCTCAGTGATTTGAGGGTGCTGCATTGTTACTTGGGTGTCCAATATGTAATAATGGTTTTGTCCAATTTCCAATAGATAGAGAAGTGTGCAACATATCACATGTTATGCACCAGAAAATATATATAAATACTAACATCACAGACGTTTGAGGAAAAGCCTAGTTAAGTTGTGTTCTCCTATTGAAAGGAGCGCCAAGTAAGACTTCTCTATTTGCCGTCAAAACTAGGTAAAACTAATGTTTTCATAGGAGTTTAGTTGCGTTGGAACTGTTTTCCTTATTGGCTACCTACCAACCCTTGAGATACTTCTTATTTGAATCTATGACCCATATGTTTGTCAACAAATACTAGTTTACTGAAAGAATGAAATCTTTTCCTGTGAAAATTTATCTTTAACAACTAGCACCTGAATCATGCTAGTACAACCAGCATTATCCACACAAATAAAACTAAGAGAGAAACAATAGAGAATACACCTAATCAATGGTAATCCAATCCTGAGTTTCCTGCCAACACAATTTCAATCTGGACAATCAAATAGCAACCATGTTAGCCGAAATGAATTAAGCACGCATCTTTGCCTACAGTTTTTCAAGCCTAACGCTAATACAGATCGCCCTTTGCTTCTAATGTGAGTCCATTAACCGCTAGTCTAACGTATACTCTGTCACAGTATGTTGTGCTATCAAGACAGAGGGCGTTGAACTCACATGAGTTCTTCACTCCGGTTAATGTTTTCTTCATACATTAACCTAGTTGGTTATTCCTTAATGTATGAACTCAATTTCAGATCAATCACAGTTATTGCAATGGCCACCCCTTGAATTTTCTTTCTCCTAATCAGAGACTTAAAAGCTCGTGATTATCTATCATCGCAAATTTCCGATGGATCATAATCCTCATCAGAAGCAAGATCCCATGCAGCCACTACCTTTTGCTTGGTAGAAAGTCAGTTTTTTTTTACTGGTGAAGTCCCCGCATTATTGGTCATGCAATTTGAGCTCGAGCAGAAACAATGGATGTATGTATGTCTTAACATTTAGTTTTTTTCTAAATGTTTCATATTCTCCTTAACCTAATAATGTTGACATTTGATTTAGTTATTTTAGTCATTTGCAAATCAAAAAACCATAACCACTAGTGGAAATAAGGGTTTTGCTGACGGCAACATTGCTGACGGGAAATTCCCGTCAGCGTTGTTTATATCGCTGACGGGAATTCCCGTCAGTGATGTTGCCGTCACCATTTCTTGGTTGCCGTCAGCGATGTAAACATCGCTGACGGGTTATGGACATCGCTGACGGGATACCCGTCAGCGATGTTATCCACTGTTAACGTCCATACATGAGATAAAATTAAACACTTGCAGGATATTCTCAACATATCTCAGTATAAAATTATAGCAAATGCATCATAAAGTTACCTTTAGTTGGAGCTGTGAATAAGAAGAATCGACCATTCCAAAGTGGAATTCCTTGTATCATACCTGAAATTTACGAAACCAAACGCATGAAAAACTAAGAAAACAAATCAAGTTGTCATAATACACAAAAAAGAAAAAGAAAGATATAACAAAAGAAAAAACTACCTCATTTCGTGGCTGATGGCTGCTTGCAGATGAGCGAGGATGATCATGATTTCGAGCACTACCACCTTGCTCAGGTGATCTTGTGCGTGCAATAAGTCTTGCAATAGCCGCCGGATCAATTGTTTGCCCAAGTATTTCAGTCAAGAGCTCGGCGAAACCATGAACCAAATCTGCCTTCTGCTCTTCAAACTTTTTTGTCAACTCTTGCTCAACTTTTTGTGATATAGTTTGAACAACAGATTCTGGAACTTGCTCAGAGGGATCCATGATCTTTTTATTTTTATTTTGGAGCATGGTTTTAGTGACACCCCTCCCCCTAAGACGTACACGTCCAGGATGTTCATCTTTCTTGACTAAATCCCATGCATCATCAGCTTCATCTTGAGATTTGAGTTCTTCTAAAGCACCCTGCATTAGCAAAATTTATATTTAGTTGCTATGCATGTTATATGAAAATTAGGACCTAAAAAGCAATATATGAATACTAATATTTAGGGAATATGGCACATACTATCAAATTGATTGTTTTCTCTCCTTGTGGATTTATCTTCTTTTTACGAGTCTCAATAAACATTTCAGCTTCATTTGGAGGCCTTCCCAACTCATTTTCCTATAATAAAGACATGATAGTTAAAATATTGATAAATACATTAAAAACAAACAAAAAGAAAGGATGCAGTTAATAAGTAACACTAAAAAAATTTTAAATACCATTTTTTTGCGAATCCTCACAAAACTTATTGTCCCCGTAGTGTGCACATATTCTAGACCTTCACGATTTGCTTTGTTGGTCTCACTTGTTTTCTACACATATAGAAGGAACGTGGATTTAAAAAACAACCAATCAAGCAGACAGAAAAGTACATGCTTGCAAAAAAACGATTGGATGAATGGGGCCCACAGATTGATGAGATTTTATCTGATGCAAAAAATGAAATCAGACAAAGATTTGGTGAGTTTGATCAAAAATTTTCATTCCGAGTCTATTATTAACATATAGGTTTTTAGCAGACAGAAAAATACAATTTGATCCTCGCATATTATTCACATATAGGTTTTTAGCTCAACTAGTGACAACAAGATATATGGTGACAATATACCACAAAACTAGACCAATGCCAGCACAAATAATTTCATACAGTCTAGGCAAACCATGTTATGGTAAAGGCATGAGTCTTAGGCCCCGTGCCTATGCACAAGTTTGTCAAATTATATGTGGCTCATGTCTAACATTTTTCTACAACTAGAAAGAAAGCCAAAGTAATTTATAAAAGTTAATATTGATACTGATATTACTCTTGTTTAGAGGAATTTGCAATTTCAGTTGATGGTAAAAGTCCAAATCTTATGCAATAGAAGAGAGTAGGTGAGTTCTTTTGGTTGAATTCATGTTTGATCTTCAGTTTGAGTATAAATTTTGGTGCTTATAATTTGTATGAAATTATTTATTTAGTGAGAAAAAGGCAACAACTGGCTGCTGCCTTTTGTTTTGTGAGTTGATGCTTCTTTGAGTCAGCTAAGTTTGGACGTTTAAGCTAAGGATTAAACTTTAAAATCTTGTTGTTTTATAAGTGGCACGTGGGTTTGACCGTAAATATAATGTTACCAGTGAATAAAGTTTCAGCCTTAAAAGTAACTAAGAAGAAAAGATTTTTCATATATTGACATTTTTAACTCTAGAAAACATTCAATATATTTTTCATATCTTTATGCAACTAGAAAACATTCAATATATGCTCAAAGTATCACTAGAAAACATTCAATCTAAGAGCTTAAGTGTTGATATATCTATTATTTTTTTATTTGTTTAGGAGAAAAACTTTACCAGAAAAAAGGACGCCAAGGAAGTGACTTCAAAAAAAAGTTACCGCCGGATGGTTTTCGAGCAATTGTGAGATGGGGACATAATGGGATTCCAACCGGACAATGGGCTAATAACTTTAGCTCATACCTTGGATGCTTGATACGGAGGAGTGATAATGTGAATCCTTATTACGAGGCTTGGGAGCAGCCATTTCATGTCCTGGAGAGTATATATCGAGATTGTTGGGTAAATTCTTCTATTTATCACAATTATTTTTCAATTCTGTCAATTGTCCATGCTTAACTAAATTTTAATTTTTAGAGATATTTCAACATCGAAGACAATCCCGTAGGGTGGGAATTTTTATTTGGATACCAGGGAAAGTTCAAGCATTCTCTTCGGGAGTGGAGACACGAGATAAAGAAGAAATGCTTTGATTGTTTCACTCACAACTGGGAGAGGATATACAAGCGAGATAAGAGGGTTGAGCCTGAGCACTTAGCTGCACTTATAATATTGTGGGGCCAAGAGGAGCACCAGGTAAATATGTATAGTAGTTAATTATCATCAAGTTATTTATCTGAAACTAGTGATATATTTCATTGTATATTATACCATGCACTAAAATTCTCTTTGTTCATGTTGAAGGAAAAATGTAGGAGAAATAAACTTAATCGATGGAAAAAAGATTATGATCATCATACGGGGACTACTTCATTTGCCCAGATTGAGGATCAATTTTGTAGGACAACGGTATAAAGTCTTTTAATCTTCTATATATATTCTCTCCGCTTCCTAGAATATTTGATAAATAAAACTAATAAATATATTTTTAAATCTCAGAACGCTCCCTTTATCCCACTACCAGAACTGCACAGGAGAACGATGGTTCAATTTAAGAAGGGGTATGATGACGATGAGAATAAAAAACAAAAGCTAGAATTGGCCAAGAAAATGCAGGTTAACTAATTATCTTAGCTCTTATTAGCATGTTCTTTTGTTGGGAATTTAATGTTTGCACTCTTCTTTTGGTCATCTTAATTATCATGTATGATCCAAATGCACATGTGTTCGATATGTTGTTTGTTACAATTTAACGAGGGAAGAAAGCTTTAAACCACAGAGGGATTTCTTTGTTCATCTGTCAGGTTCAGTCTATAGATCTAGTGAAAGCCTGAAAAATGTTTAGCTCAACTGTCCTAGGGAAATGAAACTTGTAGTGTTTTTAGTTAAAAATGCCAATATCCAGTCTTTTCACAGAAAGGTTTTCGATTTTCTGTTCAGTTATGATTGAGCCTGACCTGATTGAGCCTAACCAAGTTTAAAAGATATATGTGCACGAATGTTTGTATACAGGGGGGGACTCTTTGTCACATTTTTTCTTCTCTTCAACTGTTAACTATAAGTAACTCTGTCTTTTATCTAAATGGATCACAATGGAAACTGTAGTTTGCAAAAAGCAAGCTGAAGAACTAAAATTGAAACCTGTAAATCTCTAGCTACAACTTGAAAATAACTATAGTACTAAGGAAATCCGTAGTCAATTTTGCCCTTAATCCGTAGTGGCATGTGTCTATTTATGTTTCTGTTTGTGTATGCATGGATATTACTTGGATGTGTCTATTTATGGAGTATTTCTTGCTATAATTGATGGAGTAGAGTTTAATCTGGCCTTAATCAAGTGCTATAATAGTGGCATGTGTCTATTTATGTTTCTGTTTGTGTATGCATGGATATTACTTGGATGTGTGTTTATGCTTGTGTTTATCTATGTATGGTGTATGCATGGATATTACTTGGATGTGTGTTTATGCTTGTGTTTATCTATGTATGGTGTAGGTGAGGATGGTATGTGGGTGGGTGTTTGTGTGTGAATCTGTTAATTATGACAATGACAATGATCAGGGCCTTAGTTTGATACCCTGTCATAGTGCTTATATACTGTCAACCATTTATTAGCACTTAGCCGTCCTCAGTTGTGGAACTATTTTATCTTTTATTTTACTTGTTCAGGTAAATATCTTTTATTTTTGAAAGGCCAATTCTTAAATTTATTTTTTTCATCTTTTAGGAAGCTCTGGAAAATACATATTCTGAGGTTGTTGCACAGAGCCAGGAGCCCCTGACTAGAGAGCAGAATTATAATGTGAGCCATTTAGTTTGTGAACTTCCCAAAAAAGGGAGGACCAGGTGGATGGGAGTTGGAGCTCAGAGGGTGTCTACACAATTCCAGCCTCCGCCGATTTCCACACCCTCGACTATGCCATCGGGGCCCTCTTACATGCCGCAGGAGGATTGCACTCAGCAGGCGATGCAACTTGTTTCCTCTGTGATGAATATGTTAGATGGTCAGATTCCCAAGGAGATGTGGGAGGATATTCAAGATGAGCTTATGCGAGTGATCCAGCCTACTGCTACTTTTGGGATGGTTTCTAGGCAAATAATGAAATCTTGTAGAAGGCGGGTTCCTACTCGGGTGCAAAGCCAGATTATGAACTTCTTGGCCACTCAAAAGGCATTTACTGGTAGTGGAGAGAGTAGCAGACATGTATACTTATTATATATGTAAAACATGAGTGATTCTAAATTTAAATTATTTTATTGTTAGAGTGGAGATGATGCTATTGGGAGCACGAGTCGTAGGGATGGAGCCGATAGTGGCGCCGCGGACGATGACATGGATAGGGCGGATGACCTATCTTAGTGAGTTATATCCTAAACCCGTGTTTGTATATTAGAGATTATGATATGCGTGTATGGTCTATTGTGGAAAATTTTGTGGATTTAGAACTTATGATATGTGTGTACGGGTTTGTTATGGGATTTTTTGTGGATTTAGAACTTAAGATACGCGTGTATGGTTTGTTGTGGAAATTTTTGTGGATATTTCGAATATTTGTGAAAATTGATTGAATGAGAGATGTTTGTGAAATTTGGATTGCATATATTTCGAGAAAATTGATTGAATGAGAGATGTTTGTGAAATTTGGATTGCATATATTTCGAGATGTTTTGGAATGTGCAAGAAATGTCATTGTTTGCAGATTTGTAATTTGGATTGCATATATTTCGAGATGTTTTGGAATGTGCAAGAAATGTCATTGTTTGCAGATTTGTACAGGGAATTGATATTTGTTTTTGAATGTGCAAGAAATGTCGTTGTTTGCAGATTTGTACATGGAATTGATATTTGTTATGGAATGTACAGGGAATTGATTGAATGTACAGGGATATTTGTTATGGAATGTACAGGGAAGGGGAACTGATTATCATCTAATTTTTTTACCTGCTAATATTATCGCTGACGGGAAACCCGTCAGCAATAGGCATCGCTGACGGGATCCCCATCAGCGATGTACACAACATTGCTGACGGGAACCCCGTCAGCGATGCCTCATTATCACTGACGGCTTTCGCCGTCAGCGTTGTTTCCGTCAGTAATACGTATTACTGACGGGGCCCCGTCAGCGATACTTCTTTCCTGACGGGACTATCGCTGACGGCATATCCTTGACGGGATGCCGTCAGCGATACTTATCGCTGACGGGATTTTGAGCGTTTCTGACGGGATTGCCTGTCAACGATGCCTGTTTTTCCACTAGTGAACATGCAACACCTGACTTTTTAAGCTTTGGCGCGCAAATGGATTCAAACAGATATTTATGAGAATCTACACCTTTTTATGTATTATTTAAATATGTACCTTTTTATTTAAATCCAAAATGAAGATGGATCAGGAGGAGGCACAATAAAGTACATGGATCCACTATTAACGTCCATACATGAGATAAAATTAAACACTTGCAGGATATTCTCAACATATCTCAGTATAAAATTATAGCAAATACATCATAAAGTTACCTTTAGTTGGAGCTGTGAATAAGAAGAATCGACCATTCCAAAGTGGAATTCCTTGTATCATACCTGAAATTTACGAAACCAAACACATGAAAAACTAATAGAAATTTACCAATCCAAATCAAGTTGTCATAATACACAAAAAAGAAAAAGAAAGATATAACAAAAGAAAAAACTACCTCATTTCGTGGCTGATGGCTGCTTGCAGATGAGCGAGGATGATCATGATTTCGAGCACTACCACCTTGCTCAAGTGATCTTGTGCGTGCAATAAGTCTTGCAATAGCCGTCGGATCAATTGTTTGCCCAAGTGTTTCAGTCAAGAGCTCGGCGAAATCATGAACCAAATCTGCCTTCTGCTCTTCAAACTTTTTTGTCAACTCTTGCTCAACTTTTTGTGACATAGTTTAAACAACAGATTCTGGAACTTGCTCAGAGGGATCCATGATCTTTTTATTTTTATTTTGGAGCATGGTTTTAGTGACACCCCTCACCCTAAGACGTACACGTCCAGGATGTTCATCTTTCTTGACTAAATCCCATGCATCATCAGCTTCATCTTGAGATTTGAGTTCTTCTAAAGCACCCTGCATTAGCAAAATTTATATTTAGTTGCTATGCATGTTATATGAAAATTAGGACCTAAAAAGCAATATATGAATACTAATATTTAGGGAATATGGCACATACTATCAAATTGATTGTTTTCTCTCCTTGTGGATTTATCTTCTTTTTACGAGTCTCAATAAACATTTCAGCTTCATTTGGAGGCCTTCCCAACTCATTTTCCTATAATAAAGACATGATAGTTAAAATATTGATAAATACATTAAAAACAAACAAAAAGAAAGGATGCGGTTAATAAGTAACACTAAAAAATTTTTGAAATACCATTTTTTTGCAATCCTCGCAAAACTTATTGTCCCCGTAGTGTGCACATATTCTAGACCTTCACGATTTGCTTTGTTGGTCTCACTTGTTTTCTACACATATAGAAGGAACGTGGATTTAAATAACAACCAGGCCATTAGTATGAAACGATAAACGAGTGAACAAGAAACGATAAACGAGCCTATAACTCCTGTAAGTATGAATTTAATAATTTATGTATGCATGTTTTTTTTCCACTTAATTTTGAGCAAATCTCCTTATTCCTCAGGAGAAGGGTGTTCAGGCCCAGCAAATCTCCTCCTCTCTCTCTCTCCTCACTTAATTTCTCCCACTGTAGATCTCCTTATTCCTCAACCACCTGGGACCCGCTATTGCTTGAGCTCCTGACCCCCTGGCCCATCCTCGACCCCTCCCTCTCCCCTCTCCCTAATGCTTTCTGAACAAGAGCAAATGTGGTGGAAAACATAAACCGACAGGTATCTTGGTTATTGACGGACAAAATTGCAAGACCCTTTAGGATTTTGAGGGCCTGATGAACAAGTCCAAAGAGTTGAGGATTAATATGAAAACATTGAAAGGTTTGAGGGACTATTATCTATATAGTCCTTCCCATAGAGTTGTTTAGATTCCTTGAAACAAAAATTGATGGAACCGAGTATTAAAGAGACACAAACCATGTCACTTTACGATATTCACTGTACACACTCATCAAGGTGAGGCATCAGAATCAAAACAGGAGAAGAAAAAAGGACAGACCAACATTGTTTCATTCCCTTACCCTGTTAATAACAAGGTTAAGGACTACAAGCACAAAAGGACATGCAAACAAGCAAATTCACGCATCATCCTCTAGCTGTGAAGGGCTACCACAAGAGAGAAATAAATAGTGTTTGTATGTTGTATAGGACTCACATAGACTGGACTTCCTTTTTCTTTCCCTCCCAGACTTAAAACTCAAATTCCTTCTTTCTGAATCTCAATCAGCCCAGCGATGTCAGGTTTCAGAGTAGACAAAACTGAGGATTATTTACATAAAACAAATACTTTAAGATTGATGATAAATATTCTACTCCAATATGACTTATCAAAGAAGGGAAAGCTCATGTTTCGAAATAATACTTTAAGATTGATGCTAGAACAGAAACTGCATGTCTGTTTTCTCATTTACCTTTGATTGTTCGGAGTTCCAGAATTTGAGCAAGGCTTTAAATTCTATTTCAAGTATAGTATTTCC